GAATCTGTTTGAATTATGTTCTGAAGTGCTCCCGTTGTGGAGATATGAGGTAAAGGAATTTCAAAAGCATCGCGTTTTTTCTTTTTTTTGTGTTTTTCTCTATGAAAACAAAACCAAATAACATGATTTCAGTATATTCAGAAAGCTAAAAGAAAGGGCTACAATTATTGTATCGTGGGAAAAATGACCGAAAAAAGGAAGGTGCATCCTGTACTGTAAGAATCAGATATAGACTACCAAGTTTACTGATAGACTACAAAAAAGTCGGACTTAGACTACACAGTTTACTGATACACTATAAAAGACTACAAAAGTCGAAATTAGACTACAAAGTTTACTAATACACTACAAAAGACGAGCTCTTTACTCTCCCCCACCTATTCCTACCGGACTCCTACTGGATTCCCGGAATCCTACCGGACTGGACTAGGACTGGGACACATTTTATGTTGGCTGATCACCATACAAATTTTGTATCCTAGTCCTAGTGGAGTCCTAGTAAATTCCTACCGGACTGAACCCAAATCACTAGGAATTGTGGAATTCTACTGGATTTTTAAGGAATGAGTCCAGTAGGAGTCCAGTACAAGGAGTCCAGTAGGAGTCCAGTAGGAATTTCCGGGGACAGGGAGCCCAGTAGGACCAGCAGTTTGTCACTGTTGTTGTTATTATATAATATAATAAAAAAGCGCAACCTGACAGAATTGAACTCTCAACCTTATGGACATAGGGACAATACTATAGAGACGAGCACTTTACCAGTTACACTAGGAAGGCATTATTATAGGTCATTATTATATGCTCTATATACCAACGTACTGACCTCCTTCCTAGAAAGGACGTCGGCGAATTCCGCGAGTGGGAATTTTGCCCAAACCCAACAACACTCGACAACACCACCATCACCACCCTCTTGCTCACCCACCACGAACACGTCGCCCACCACGACCACAACGGACGACGACAACACGCGACCACGACAACAACGACGGCCACGACAGACGACAACAACAAACGACCACGGCACGTAACGACGACCCCACTCACGGACACGACAACCACCCATGAACCACGAGCGCCCGCCGACACGACAAACAAGAAAGACGAGGGACAGCGACCCGCTCCCACCCGCCAACGACGACCGTAACACCCACCACCACAAACGACGCCCGCCACCCACGAAAACGACAACCGCCGCCCACGAAAAACGCCCAGCGCCCATGAACGACAGCCGCCGCCCATGCAAACGACAAGCGCCACCCACGAAAAGCACCCAGCACACCCAAACGACATCCGCCGCCCACGAAAAACGCCTAGCGCCCACAAACAACATCCGCCGCCCATGCAAACGACGACCGCCGCCCACGAAAAACACCCACCAAACCCAAACGACGACCGCCGCCCACGAAAAACGCCCACCGCCCACAAACGACATCCGCCGCCCTCGAAAAACGACGACCGCCGCCCACGAAAAACACCCAGCAAACCCAAACGACGACTCAGTGTATCTCTCCTCCCTGTCTCCTTCTCTCTGTTCCCCTCTCTCCCTCCCTCCCTCTCTCCCTCCCTCTCTCTCTCCCACCATCCTTCTCTCCCTCCCTCTCTTCCTCCCTCCCTCCCTCTCTTCCTCCCTCCCTCCCTCTCTTCCTCCCTCCCTCCCTCTCTTCCTCCCTCCCTCCCTCTCTTCCTCCCTCCCTCTCTTCCTTCCTCCCTTCCTCTCTTCCTCCCTCTCTTCCTCCCTCTCTTCCTCCCTCCCTTCCTTTCTTCCTT